CCTCGGCCAGGGGGACTGCGGGCCTCGACCTAGGCGGCGGTCACAGAGGATTTACAAGCCTTCACAGCCTGCGCGAGCGAGCGGTCCGCCGCCCTGGAGGGCGGGTGCTAGGGCTCTTCGGGGCGGCATCCACCCGAGCCTATGGGCCTCCGCAGACAGCCAAAGACTTGGAGCATTTTATATTGCTCCTTGGCTAGAAGAAGTGAAATGCCGGGAAGAAAAGCCATGGCCTTCTCTGCCTTCTTTAGCATAAAATACATTCACTTTAGACAGCAAAAGTAGCACACGCACCTGCAAGCGCATGCACTGTAAAACATTCTTACAAAACAAAAGGGTGAAAGTCAGCTCCTTGCTACCCCTTGGCCTGATCTTCTGAAGTCAGTAAATGTGACTCAATGCTCTCTCCTCCTTACCTGCCCCTCCCACTCGTCCCCAGAATGAAAAGATCTATCCCCGAAAGAAAAGCACCAGCTATCTCTGATATTTCCTTTCAAATATCTTGCTTGGATACTATGAAATTATTTCTCACAGATACAGAAACTTCTTCATGAACTTGTACCCAAACTCTTTTTCTGTTGCTCCCCCCTTATGAATACAAATAGAACCATACTGTGTATTGGTTTGTCTGGCATGCTGCGAATACATATACTTTATATAATTTACATGTGTTATTTGGGCACCTCGCCCACTTCTCCCTCAAAACTTTTCTTGAAGGTATTTAAGGCTCACTGGCCAGAGAACAGTGTTAGAATGTTTGTCCACTTGCTTCCTATTTGTAAACCTCAAGTAATAAGTTACTTGTTTTAAACATCTCCTTTGGGACCCCGAGGCCATTAGCCAGAAGCCAAATGCTTTCCGTTCCCGAGGTTTTGCATGTTATAAAACAATAGCATTAAAATATAACATGCAATTTGATGGCAACGGGTCAACTTTTCTGGCAGAACGTTTGGATAGAGCTCGAAGTGCTTTTCAAATTAAGAAGACTTGTGTTGAGTGGACTAATTGAAGTTGACTGGCCTTACCTACTTTGTTGTGGACCTAACAGACTTGTAGCTATTGGGGCAAGTTCAGTTTTCCACTCTGCAAAGTGCTATTACGTTTTTCAACACTTAGTGGAAACAAAGAAAACTTGATAAGTTGAAGAGCATTTCAGAGGACTTCTTTGAGAAAGGACTCAACCACGGTTTCATTAGCACACGTTACAAACACTGGAAATAGATTTCTCGTCTTTCTGTGGGAATGGTGGGTAAAGTTGGGACTTCTGCCCTGATGTAGTTGTGTGATGCTACAGGTTGTGTTAGAAATGGACATCTTTCCTGCAGGCTCTGGGGGAGTGAATACCATATGCTTGCATCTCCCCCTTTGTTTCATTAAGTGAACCAGAAAGGGAAAGCCAGTTAAGCAACTCCCTGGGGTCATCTATTTTTATTCTCCTGGCTCATTGCCTTTACTTATTGTCATTTATTTTAAGCTATTTTTTTTGCCAAGGTGTCAAAGACATTTTTGATCTTAGGCACTAACATAAAATTTATGAACATTAGCTATTTGCTTCCTTATTTATTCTCTTATTTTAACCTTCCTTGGCCTAAGAGAGGTGGGTTGTTGTCATATAGACACTCCGTCATTACTATAGTCCATAAGGCATACGTATAGACACATAGTCATAAGTCCTCGAAGTATTTCGGCTGTCTCAACTCAATCTTACTACAGCCATTTTTTGTAACTCCAAAAATAGTACAATAGTGCAGTTCAGTTGATTTGAGTCACGAGTGTGGATGTAGAAGACTGAGATTTCATCATTCTCTCTGGATCTCTGGCTCTAGAGGCTTTGTGCTTAGGCAGACCTGGTGAATTATTTCTCTGCCACTTTCTTGGCCACATCACAATACTCTTGAAACCTCAATTGGCTCATCAGCAAAATGAAAATCGTGATAATCCGATAATGTAGTAGCAGTTTCGAACAAAACAGGTGACTAGCACATAGTAAGCAAAAACAAATTCACTGTCATTAAGTCAGTTCTGACTCAATAGTAACTTGGTAACTGAATTCTTTCTGTGGCTCTTTCCAAGCCCCTCATGGCTTCCCTTTGTGTGTGTGCGTGTGCGTGTGCGCGCGCGCGCGCGTGTTCGCACCTTCAGAATCAAAAACTTGGGAGGTTAACGTGGGCAAAGGTGAGAATACTCCCGGCCTGGCCATGGGGCTGGCTCAAAAGCAGCCTGGCACGACACACTTTTTATAGTGCTCGTCTGTGGTGTGAGGAAGGCCTAAAAGGCGGATACTTTATAACCTATGAAACAAGCTGTTGCTTTTCACCCGAGTGCCTGCGGCCACCTCCAAGAAGCTGCTGCTCTGGGCAGGTCCCGGCATTCCCTGCTGCTCTCTGGGAGAGGAGGAGCGGGAGCAGTGGGGTAGGCTCAGTTGGCTGGAGCCTGGATTCTCATAATGCCTCCTCTCAGGCAAATGGCGAGATGATGTTTCGCTCGCCGTATTGGTTTGCGAGTTGATGTTTCTTTGTTGAGCGTAATTTAAAGACACTTAGTCCTAAGTCCTCCAAGCCTTTCGGCCGTCTCAACACCGCTATGGCACACCCGCGGCCGATGCACCAGGCCTGGCCACAACCAAGGCAGAGCAGGTGCTCTGAGCCCCCAGCGGCAACCCTCCGGGGCTGGGCTCTTATTGGCCCTGCCAGTCCGGTCTTGCCCGAGCCGGGACCCGTT